ACACACACACACAGCAGAGAGAGATGAGAGAGATATAGGCCTTGTCCGACAGCTGAGATATAGCACAAGAGCCCTGGGGAGTTTCAGGGGATTTCCACCGAGGGAATCGGACACGTTGTCTGATTTACACTAACACTTTGGCTAAACTTGTGATAAAAGTTCACAAAAGAAACATTGCTGTATCTGTCTTTATCCATCTCTCCCTCCATCTGTCTCTGTCTCTGTTTTCTGCTGCTTTCTCTCTCTCTCTCTTTCCTCTCTCTCTTCTCTCTCTCTCTCTCTCTCTCTCTCTCTCATCCCATAAACACTGCGGTGGCTGTAGAATTTTTTTTTAAAGCTGTGAGTTATTGTTTTCATGCATGTGAGTGTTGTTGACTGTCATCATATTGATGCAATCTCCTCCCTAAAAAGGTATTAGTAAGTTATGGTGAAGCTGAAGGTCGTAAGGGTGATCCAAAGAAATAAACGGCAGATTTTAACCTAAAAAAGAAGCGGACAAGGAAGGATGAGAGGGGTAAGAAGCAGCATGAGAGTGAAAAGAGCAAAAGAGAGGCTGAAAGAAAACACATTCATTTTTATCTGCCTTTACAGCTCCTTTTTTTCACTGAGAGGAGAGCCAAGGAATGCAATGAGGAATCCGGTGAGAGATAAAGAGAGAAAAGTGGATGGTACTGTACTGTACTGTGTGTAAGTGTGTGTGCTGATTGTGCAACTGTTTGTGTCTATTAGAGTGTATACAGTAGTCACTCACAAAGCTGATCTCTGATAAAGTTTTAATTCAGTTATTAAGAGTTTAATCACAAACAGGGCAGGATAAACGGTGCTGAAGAAGAAAACCTTCTATGTGTGTCAGCGAGGAAACCTTGGTCAAGGTCAGCAGATGAATTCTATTTTTTTTTTACAAGATATTGTATCTTCAGGGTAGTGGGATATTTCAAAAGAAATAATTGGATCCTCAAAATGACGGAATTATACATTATTATACAGTATTTCATAGATATTACTTTCTGTGTGTGAGGAGGAATTGTTATTTTAATTCTGTGACCTTCTTGTGGGCGATGATAATACTATGTTACTGACTAATAAACAAATGATGACTTATTATTAAAAAAAACAACAAAGAAACTTTCAAATGAATAAATAAAGACCACAGAGACAAACTGGTGCTGTATCAAAGCAGTCACAATACATTTACACAGAGAGAAATCATCATCATTTTCAATTATCTCACACTTTTAAGTACAAAAATGTTTCACTGACATTTGCTGTTTTATGACTCAAATATTAATACACACGAAAGAGAGAAAACTGAAAGTATAAACAGTTCTTGGATCCTTCCAAAGAAAAGTCTAAAATATATCAGTTAAGTTACATATTTTCCCCCATGGAAAGAGTTCAGTTCCCATGGTGAAGAAGAATTATTTACATCTTGACCATAATGTCCCGGACACAGAGCCAGTGTGACCCAGCAGACATATTTTAGAGCTTGCAGTGTCTAAAACACTGCCAAAGTCCAGCAATATTTACACACCACACAGACAAGACGATTTGGCTCTGAGAGCGCTGAGCAATGCTAGAAAAAAAAATCCAATCCTCACATTACTCAAAAACAAAAAAGTTCAGTTTTTTAAATACAACTATAAAAACATATCTGTGTTTGCAAAGTACATTTAATGCTGACCAGACAAAACACCAAAAGCTTACATTGCAAACACATAATGCATACGGTGTTAAATGCAAGTTGTTCACTTCATTTGATCTCTTTAAATCAAACCCAGCATTATCGCTCATGGTATAAAAGGGAAATTATGAGAAAAGGCAGAGAGACTGAATGACACCTCCCTCCCTTTAAATCATTCCAGTGAAAGCAAGTTTTGTTCACAAAAAGATAACAAAGAGGCCCACCCAATGCAGCTCAACAGAAGAGATATTTACAACAGCTGAAGGCGCTAAGCTGCGGGGCATGTATGCAGATGACCATGAAATCACTTTACACACAGTGGTGGATGGTGGCAAGAAAACAGACAATAATTGAGGATGAATGAAATATTACATTATGGTTAAAATTCTTCTGTCTTAATGTGCAAAGATACCAACATTGACTCTGGGGACCTTCTGTAAAGTGACTGTACTGTAGATCTAATTGGGTTTGTGTACATTTTTATATTTACACCTGCTGGACAGCATTTGCCAAAATGTTTCTCGGAAACAGAAACTTAAGTGAAATGTTGCTCTTTTCAGTTACAGACTGACTTTATGAAACAATAATTCGAATCTTTAAAGGACCAGTGTGCAGGATTTAGTGCCATCTAGCGGTGAAGTTGCAGAGTGCATCCACTTGAATACAGCTCAGCCTTCCAAGTGTGTAAGAGAAACAACAGTGGCAACAAAACTCGCACAAACATGAAAGACCCTATCAAGTGCCAGTGCTTGGTTTGTCTGTTCTAGACTCAGTGTTTCCCATTAATTACCAAGCCTGTGGCAGTCCACCACAGACTAATTTGTCCCACCATAGTTTCTTAATGAACCAACATTTGTTTTAGACTTCTCTCTAACATTGTGTTTTTTGCTTCAGCAAAGCATCTCTTTCACAGCACAAGTATCCGTGATCGATTAACTAGTGAACAATCTCCCCCCACTCTGCCCCTCTGGTACAGTCTACCGACAATTGCACTGCTCTGCAGAGGAACGCAGAGTGGGATGTTCTCTGAGGCATATACGGTGGATATACAGGGGGTGATTTTACACTAATGATAACATACCTATGAATATTATATTCCATATCTGTCAAAAGATCCTCCTAAATGTTACACACTGGACCTTTAAATCCCATGTAAAGACCAAAACCAACAATGGATCAGCAGCAATAGTGACTAGTGATATTAACCTCTTTAAGGGAGCCATTAGGACTCTACTGGTCCTTACACAGGCTGGGTTAGTGGGTGCAAAGGGGGTCACCAGCTTTGGATTACGTGGAGACAGAAAATATAAGCAGATGTAACCCAGATGTTTACATTTAAAACTGTGATATGCGCTGACAAAAGACTCAGATAGCCAGCTGGAGCTTGGTGAGGTTCCTCTGGTGCATGTTGTGGTGTCGCACCAACTCGTCACTCCGGGCAAACTTCTTCTGACAGTTCGGCCACCGACAGTTGAACGGCTTCTCACCTGAGAGACAGGCGGGAAGGATGGACAGGGTGGAAGAGACAGAAGATAGAATGAAGAAGTAGTGGGAGGATAGTAACGGTGGAGAAAGTAAGAGAGGAGGGATTTAGAGAGGATGCAAGCCGGATGGAATAATAATGAAATCAAGTGAAAAGAAAGGGAAAATGAGAGAAATGTTAGAATACTATACTGATCACAACCTGAATGGGAAGATTAAATTGACTTTATATACTGTAGTACTGTAGTACATAATTACACAAGCCAAGTAAGAATAAATACATGTTGACAATACTATGTTATAAAATTACTGTTTTGCAACTGTATATATTTAAACATCAAATGGATGAAGAAGAAATGGAAAAATAAAAGTTTACGCACTTGTTTTACCTGTATGAGTCCGGGTGTGTGTCTTAAGGTGGTCAGACCGAGAGAACTTTCTCTGACACGTCTCGCATTCGAAGGGTTTAACTCCTAAACACATGTACAGTATGCATGCATACACACACACGCCCAAGTTCACACACACGCACACACACACACATATACAGAAAACACATGTTCAACATCACACACACACACACACAGAGGGAGATAGAAAAATACAGTAGAGTAGAGGCTTGCAGGAAGCCATTCCAAAGTTTGGCCAGCCTAGCAACTTAATGTAGTTCAACACTGTACACAAAATGCAAACTGTGTACTTCAAAAGACTGCATTGTCCACAATATGGCTGTCATGCATACAGCAGAGGAGAGGAAATTAAGAGAGAGTAAATACAAAGGAAAAGTAAAGTCAGGTTGAGTAAAATTGATCAAACCTGTGTGCCTCCTCTGGTGTCTCTTGAGCTGGTCGGAGCGGGAAAAGCTCCGGCCACAGTCTGTGAAATCACACTGGTAGGGTTTCTCCCCTGGACAAAGACAAGAGAGACACACACACATTATTAAATGAAATTATTTGATCACTTCTTCCCAGAAGATATCACAGATAACACACCCACAGGAAAAAAGGTGTAAAGGTGTGGTAGTACATTACTGGAATAATGCATAATAATATAAATATCCAATTAGCGACTGATAATTTATCAGTCCTGATATATATTGTGCATCCCTAGCTACTGCTGTTATTTCATCCTTTTCTCATATCAGTGTCAGCTAGTTCATGAGTACACAGGTGTGTGTTTCTTTCACTGAGGAACATCTTTATAATCACAACACTGCTGTAGTAACACTGAATTAGGCAGCTAGCCGGGGCTGCTAACGCTGGCTTTTCTCTTTGACGGCTGACAAATATAATAAACCAAGCTCACAACCCAGTGTAGCTAGGTAGTCGGCTAGGTTGGGTGGGTAGCAGCTTCTCAAAAGTGACTAGGCTATCAATCTATCAAATGTGCAAAGGCAACCTCATGATAATAGAGCAGAATTTGTCTGTGAGGCATTTTAACATTATTGTCATCACCACATACATTTTCCAACATCAGAACAATACTGTAGTCAAACCAGAGGCCATTGTACTGGCCCATCCCAGGTTGCCTTGAGGATGGGCCGGGGGTGCAGCAGGATTTATTTGACTTTATAGTGACTTAAATAATGTTTCATTATCAGCAAAGATACTGAATACCTCAAGCACCTAAGTGAAGTTAAAGTAACAGCTGAAAAGGGTGCACATGAATGAATGTGTGTCAAATCACACTGCCATTGCTGCAGATCTGACTGGAAATCCAAAGGATCTCTTTATTTTGCAAAACAGGAAGTATTTTCTGGCAATAGCAGATATAGGTGTTCTGGGCCAATGGAAACATCACTTTAAAAGCTTTTAAAACGTTTGTTCTTCTAAAGCCAAACAGAGAACTTTTGAGTGAATAAGAACGCGTTGCTGACAGTAACTGTGTTTCTGGGAAACACACTTTCTGGCACTAACAACACTGCTGTCAGTATCTGTAGAATACGTGTAATATCACAGCACAGCTTCCTGTTTCTGTTGGTTTCACCTGTGTGTTTGCGACCGTGCATCTGCAAATGAGACAGCTTGAAGTAGCGTTTGTTGCATCCTGGGTAGGCACACATGAATGGGCGCTTCTCACTGCTCTCTGACCGCACGATGGCTGGAGCGATGCTGGGCACCCGCCGCACATCCTGCACGCACACACACACACACACACACACACACACACAGAGAAAAGACTTTAATTCAAAGCCAAAGCACTCAATGCAAAATTAACAGAAACTCTCCCTAGACATCAATTATTTAACCAGTAAAATGTAATTTAGAAAACAGGCAATTAAATCTGTCCTGTGTGTAAATAAGTGCATGTGATGTGTCTGGCTCACAGGGATCATTATAATAAAATGGTCATATATTCATTAGCTGGGAATTAGCAGTAAAATGACCCCAGACTGACTGCAGCCCAGGGGGAGCTGTTAGTCACGCCTTTTAGACAGGCCCCCTTCCAGAGCGCCCCATTACAACCCCGCTGCTCAGTGCCGACACCGCTGGAGAAGAATAACAGGAAATAACACATGGCTGTAGAAGAAAAATCCAAATTTTGTGTATTAGTTCATCTGGATAGTAAATCAGTATAGGGTTAGGGTTAGGGTTATTTTCTTATTTTTTATGCTCTCTCATGCCGCCTGCCGACCTGTAGTTCCTCTATGTAGCTACTTTTCAACGCAGTACATGACATTTCAGCACTTTCTTCACGTCTCTCTCCTCTTCTTGAACTGATCCACTGATCATTGCTTTCCTCTTTCTCTTCTTCCCCCCTCTCCCTCCACACTCCCTTTCTCCGCCCTCCCGCAGCCATCTGCTCTTCATTTCCTCAATGTCTACAATAATGGCCAGAGAGACTCTGAGGTCAGCCCTGTTGTAATTAGCACTGTTAGCAGCTATTTATACAAACATTACAGTCGTAACACACTGCAAGAGGTGTGAAATTCACTGACACAATCATCCTTAAATCCCACATTACACTGAAACAGTAGGAAAGTAAGACTTGATTATAATCTGGACTTTGCTCTATAGTGATGCACAGTACATGGTGTAGAATACATTAAACGCAAGGTGTTGTTCACAGTGCAATGAACCCCAACAAGGTGTTAATCCAACTCATTACACTGATAATTATCCCCCCTGTAGAGTTTTTGACCCTTTACAGCTCTACTATTAGTATTTTTTTTACACATTCCTGCCAATGGTCTTACATTATTACACTAATTCAATCCACCTGCAAACGCAGTGAAGAAGAAGACTGCTACCTGGTAAACATTGATGTAAACAATGTGGGTTTTATAATATAGTATAATATTTTGAACTTGAGGGTGAAGCGAGGGAGTTTCAGTCTCAACTCCATCACTAGTTGCCACTAAATCCTACACACTGGTCCTTTAAGTATAAGTGGGGAAAATGCCATTATGAAATAATGAACTTTGATAATTAATGAACTTTGCTTAATTAATTTCTGAAATAAATAGAATGAAGATTATCTGCAATAATATGATAATAGTTTTCATATTTCTTTAAATTATTTCTCAAATGGTTGGTTCATTTATAACCACAGTTATATTAATATATTATTAATGACTTTATTTATTTATTATTGAACACTCACTAAAGTACCTGACAGCTAATCCGGCATGCCTGTCTGCAGTAAGCAAGAATAATGTCTGTTTGCTGCAGGTGTTGCTAGTTAGTTTAATTAATATAATTAGAGATCAACAAAACTGACTGATTGATCTCACAGCAGAAGGATATAATTAGCTGTGATTAAGTCATTTGTTGGGTGATTCATAATCATAGGATTCAGATTTGTCAACAAGCCCTGTAATATTTTTTGCTGGCTGTTATCTCTATTTCCTTTGGCAGTGACTGAGAATTAATGTAATCACCGTTATTAACATTATGGAACAAAGCATCTTGTTGCTACTCAATCTGTTATCTCCCATTTTAGCAGCTCTTAAATTATACTTTAAAAGGCATAAGAGCGAGAGTTTGTTTATTCTTTTGCACTGAGCCAGACTTATGTGTGTTTAGTACAATCCACTTCTATGAACAGAAGAAAAAAGAATGAGCAAAGGGGAAAAAAAGGGAGCAGAGTGAATGATGAAACAGGCCCCAAAACGAAAAGAAAGAAAGAAAAATCTCAAAAGTCCTGCTGTGGACTAAGAGCACGTCTGGAGAATCTCTGCTCCCTGTCCTTTAGAGCCGCTGACAGACAATAATTAAAATCTAATGATTTATTAACATGCTGATCCTTGTATGGAAACTGTATCTTTACCCAGTGTAACCCTATGTGTGTGTGTGTGTGTGTGTGTGTGTTTCGCCACTGCTAATGGATTTGTGGAAAAATATTCTTCTTGGCCTTTAGAGCTGCCTTTTTAAAAAATGTGTGTACTATGCAACGTGTTTGTGTGCATATGCAGGCATTTGTGTGTGTGAGTGTGTTTGTAAATCTCTGCTCTGCTACATATCAGTATTTCCTCCTCACACAGCCTGCTCATTTCATCAGGCTCTCCACAACACAAGAAATATGTAAAAATACCTTCTTTTTTCTGTCATTAATGCGTTTTTCCTCCAGTGTTTGGTACACTGACCTTAGGCTTTCAGTATGTTAAGCATGTGTGTATATCCTGATCTTGACACTAAACAGCAAAGGACACAGTGTGTGTGTGTTCTGTGTGACCTGGCCTCAAACAATTAAAAAGGAAGTAAAATGTAGAGACGCTGCAGTAGTGGTAGTGTGAGTCCTACCTGTATTCCCCTGAAGACTCCATGCGTGTGTATGTGGTACTGTGTGCTGCAGCTGTACACCATGGGGGTGCTGGGGTCACTGTCGTAGCCTGCTGCATGGCTGCCAACACAGAGGGAGAGATGGTGACTGATTTATTTAGATTCTTACAGCAAAATAAACAGAAAGGTAATTTACCTGAAGGTGAAACAATGGACACTTTCACACAGTTTTGAAGAGCAGCTGTCTGAAAGCCATACTGGCTCCAAGAGTAGACACCAGTACCATCATTTTCAACTCCAAAATATCAACATTGGAGCGTTTTCTGTGCCACTAAATAATTTCCTGATCACAAATATTCACAGTTAAAAAGAGGGTTTCCACATGGTCGACTGCCACGTACAGTAGGTTGAAATGTAGAGCAGAGAGACATCCGATAACGAGAACATGATTCAATGCCATAAATCCATACATACAGTGTAACAAACGCTGGCAGATATATAGAGCATGAACTGCTGTTTTACTGCAGGTAGGGTCATTAAGGTATCATTATTCAAACATGTTCACCTTGTCACATACAGCCCGTAATGCAAAACACAGACCAATCATTTGTATGCTCAGAGTTGACTGGAGAGATGGAGGTAAGTCGTGTTGATGTCTGTCTTTTGTCCGAGAACTGCATATCCAGCTGAAGTGTGTGTGTGTGTGTGTGTGTGTGTGTGGGTGCCTCTGTTTATGCATGTGTATGAATTTCTTTTAATATTTGGCCCTAAAAAGTCAAACTTTGGCCTATAGGCACAATAAGCCCAGATACAAAATCAGCAATAGCACATATACAAGAAGAGGTGTTCACATTGACACTGATCCCTGAGGAACATGTTGGCTGACTTCATAAAACCATACGGATGATTGCAAATGTCATGTCACTGGTGTGATCTTAGCCGATGGGAATTCCAGGCCTTTTAGTGAGTCAGACCATGTGGCTCAGCTCAGCAATAAGAGCAGGTTCTTTCTTACTCCCAAGCGGCTCTTCATTTAGTGCCACCTCTGGCTTTCATGTAGCCAAATGTAGCAATGTTTTGACCAATAATTGGTGTGTGTGTGTGTGCTCATAAATCACTTAAGTTATTTAATGTAATTTCAATGTAATTATACTAAACCTTATAATTTCCAATACCAGTTTTACAATTTTACATTATGCCTACCTATTATGCTAACCATGTTCATCCTACAATATTACACATGTCAAGAAAAAAGAAATCGGAGCATGTCGGTCCACCGCTTTGGTCAAGACAAAAATATCTCAACAGCTCTTGAATGGATAGCCATTCAATTTGATGCACACATTCATGTTCCTCTGAGTAAGAATTGCAATTATTTTGGTGGTTGCTTAACTTGTCGTCTCGAGCCCCACATCAGGTCAAACATTTAACTTTAATACTTACAAAAGTTCCTGTAAACTTCAACTGTGTTTAATACTAATTAGCAAATGGTAGTATGCTAACTTGGTGAACACAGTAGACATTATACCTGGTAAAAATCAGCATGTTAGCATTGTCATGTATAACAATTTGCTGACAAACCAAAACCTTTTCCCATTAGACAACTTTCAGTCACGTGTGTAATGTTAACATCTAGCAATGAAGTTTCAATCAGGCAAGTATTTATCTACTAGCTTATACAATATCAAGCTTTTCATCATTACTGCTCCTAATGATTTTTTCATTATCAATCAATTTCATCAGCCTCTATCATAATTTCCCAGAACCCAAGGCCACGTCTTTAAATTGCTGGCTTTTCTGACCAACAGTCAAAAACCTTAAGATATTTAATTTACTATGAAATTAAAACCCAGAAAAACAGTAAAAATGTATCTTTGAGAAGTCAAACCAGGGAATATTTGGCAATTAGGCTCGGAAAATGACATACGACATATGAATTTAAAATATTAACCACACAAACAAATACTTCCTACTGTTGATCAGATAATTGATAAATTAGTTAATCACTTGCTACTGCACAAGCAGAGTATTATTTATGACAAATAGCTTTTCATGTTTTACTCAGACTTAGAGAAGAACAAAACCTGCTCTGTGTGACGCAGCCTCCGCCTCTTGTATCTCCTTATGATAACACACAGAGAAACAGAAAGCTCTTGTCTATGAAATGTGTTATATTTCAGTCTGTCTAACCAAATGAGGAGGATGGGAGTTTGCATCCTGTGCTGCTGCAGTGGGAATGTACTGTGTATGGCTGAGTGATCATAAGGTGCTCTTTGTTTGCCTCGCTGTTTCCAAGGACAGGAGCCATTGAGACTACGTCAGTTGTAGACACAGTGTTAATCATACTGCATGCTCCTTTACTTATGTTCATACATTCAGTCATATTTTTTGATATTTCAGTTTGTAGTAGTGGGTATTGTACAATGTGGGGCACCATAGTCAGAGATTCTGGAGCTTCCGCCGAAAAAAACTTTTACCTCACTATGATAAACGAGGGTGGAAGGTTGTGGTGATGGGGCAACCCCCATGTAAGCTGCCATACTGAGAGTTTCATACATGAACCTGAATGTGGCCCAGCACCAATGTCAACACCACAACAGCAACACTGTTAGGTGCGTCTAAACTGCAACCCAGACAAACACAGTAAGCACAAATAATACCAGGGATCTACTAATAAATCTAATAATAAAAATATGATAAAATACAACAAAGTGTAGTTGCAGAATATAAATGTAATAAAATATTAATTGACTAAGTACTAATTGACTAAGTGAAAAAGCTTCTCGGTACCTACTGTTAACTATTCAACACTGGACACAGACTTTGAGGGTTCATGTTAAATCCATACAGGGATGTTCTACTGTAAAATCAACAAATGTTTAATGGGCTTGTTCCACTCCATGGGCTGCAAAAAATAAGTCTGACTGTACTGAGTCTTACAGTAAAATGAATTAGTAAATTATGGTTCCATTTAGAGTAAAATAGCCGATAAAGCAGGCTATGCTTTAGGGTGTGGCTACTTGTTAGAGTCTGTCCAGCTCAACGCACCAAACTCAGATCAAACTGTCAAACTAGGCAGTGCTGATATGCAAATATGGATCAAGATTCTGTTGCCTATTTCTCACTAAAAATCGGAAAAAGTTTTAGTGCACTGTTTATCTGTAATATAAGAAGATGTGTAAGCAGGCATGCTGCCACTGTTTCCTGCTACAGGCATCAGAGCGGTACTCCACAAACAATGGCTGACGTCACAGTAAGTTCACACTTGGCAAAACCACAACTTGTTGTTTTTACTATTCGGTTTTTATACAGACTGATCAAACAAGATATGAGATAAGAGATTCAGACGTGCTGATAGGTGGACTTTGTTAGCAGACTGTTTCCTCTCTCTCTCCACTCTTTATGCTAAGCTAAGCTAAGCTAACCAGCTGCTGGCTTTCGCTACATATATATTATTATAATATATATATTATCATATATATATTACAAAACATACATGACCGTGAAATTCCATTGGGCGTGGCTTTATAACATTACATCTATGGAACGGTTTGACTCTGTGATCCGCACGTCTTCAAATCCCACCAAGAGCAACTTCAGGGCATGTTGCCTGCCCGACATTGTTTACTTGTGTATTTGTCCCTAAAAAGGATACAAAACAGTGTATTTCTCTGCTTCAAATCTCCTCTAACCTTCCTCTGACTGAATGTTGTCTGGCCTGGTGCCACAAAGTGTAAAATTCGATCTGGAGTCTGCATGCAATTTGAAAATTGATTCAAATTGGATTCTCTATGTCGTTTTTGTGTCTGACTTCCTGCCAGTGCAATCTGCTCTGAGCTGCTTAATGTTATTGGGACGTAGCTTAGACCAGCTGCGTATTCAAAGCAGAGCAGAGAGACACTTCTAGAATGCTTCTGAGACGTGCCACGGCGCTTCTGATGGAATTTAGAGCATTGTCTAGAATGAGTGCAATCATCTGCAACGGAACGTGTTGCGCCTGTGTCCGGTGGAATTTAGGGGTGAGAGTCACTCTTGTCATCTAACTTCTGATCAGAAAACAAATTATTAACAATAATGAAATTTTATTAATTAATGCACATGTTGCATAGGTCTGCAGACTTGAGTGAATTACCCACAACTGATAGCAACTTTATAAACTGGCATGACTCCCCTACGCTTCCTCTTCCTCACCTCCTGCTCCTCGCCCCGTTCCTCTTTATCTTCCTGTATTCAACTGACTCCCTCCTCTTGCTGTCCTTTCCCTTCCTCCCCAACCCTTCTACTCCCTCACACCTCCCCTCCCTTCTCCTGCCCCCCCACCCCATTGAGAGAGTCACAGCCGCTGAGAGAGAAACACCAACACACCCAGAGCTGAGCGAGGCCTCTGAAACACTGTGATATACTTTTATCAACCTTCTCTGAAGACCTTTTCAATGCTTATGAACACTCTCGACATTTGTCTCTCCTGTCACTCATGTAAATATAATCAGCAACCTCAACAACACCACTCTCAGCACTGTAGACGCTTGTATACAAGCACACACTCACACTGCTTCTTCACAATGCAACAACATCCCCCAGACACATAGACATTCCTTCTCGCTACCACCTCTTTGTGCACGTACACGTCGCTATCAGACACACACACACACATTCATCTGTTAACTATGATGAATGCCTGTTGGCTCAGGGTAGAAAGGTATTTGTGAGCCGACACAGACGTTGACCAGTGTGCAGTTATACGCAGGTCACGATGACATAAAGTACAGCGTGTGCTACTGAATGTTTTTAACTCTGTGTGAACACTGTGTGAATTCTACAGTGATTACTTGTAACTGGTTTCTAATGTATTTCTGCTTTAATTTGACAAAACATGACATCCCATCCCATAATATGAGAACTAAACTTTCAAGAACAGGGTACCCATAGTTTATTCACCTAATTAAAGGACTATACTGTCTTTTTTACATCTTATCTCATATGTGACCAAAGAGCTGGGTTTTAAAAGTACTCCCAGTCTTTCTGGTGCACATGCTTATCAAATACTAAGTTCTAAACTGCAGCATTATCCAAATCATTTCAGTCATTCAAAGTTTTAGGGTTGTGGGTCCATCTGTCAATACATCCGACACTAAGTAAGATATCTCTACAATTGCAAACCAGATTTGCCATGAAAAGTTTGGAATATGGAGAGTATAGAGTTCCATGGTTCCCAGGGGACCACCTGACCTTTCATCTAGCACCACATGTCCGAGGCATGTCACATCTTGGTCCATGACGGATTATCTTACAAAGTAGTAGCCGGGGTATCCTAGTGGTTAACATGAATAGAGTACATCATAATCGCATTGTCCACAGTTTTGCCAGGCACCTTTGTTCCATGTAATCTTCTCCACTCTTTCCTCTCATTTCCTAATTTCCAATCTACTTTCTGCCAAAATACCAAAACATGTACCAGAAATTCCATTAAATCTACTGCCCAGAATGCTGTCAAATTGAACACATTCATTTAGATAAAATGGAAATTTACACATATAATACATCTAATGTAATGCAATAATCTGTTATGGCCACATTTTAGACTAAGTGATGTGTGAATGTTCAACTAAAAACTACATGTATTTGGAAAAATGTCTGTGAAGATTTGTAGATAAAAGAATTTACTGATTTCTAAAACCACCTTTAGATATTTCTATTTAATACTTTACTAATGTGCCACAATAATGTTTTTGAGTTTAAATATCTTTATTTGGGTGATTTTTATAAACAAATATTAATATAGGTGTTAAATTTAGCAAATATTTCTGTCACCCCAAGTCTCCACACCCTCTCTAATATTTCTCTAAATTGGCCACTGGCCGTGTGTGTGTGGTGTGTGCTTTGTGTGACAGCTCAGACTGAACTCTAAAAATGATCAGGAACTCCTGCTGTTTCTCTTATTTCCCTTATTCTATGGCTTTATTCATATTCATGACTAACAATTATCCCTTTTTTAGTTCAACTAAATTCTACTAAAGGGTTTTTTTTGTTGGACTTTTTCGTCATCAAGGAATCAAAGGTCTAAGGTTATAGGGTGTTGTATTCTGTAATAAGCCAATGAAAAGTCAGAATATGGTCTTAAAGGTCCAGTGTGTAACATTTAGGAAATGGAATATAATATTCACAGGTATGTTTTCATTGGTGTGTATTAATGTGCAAAATTATGCCGCTATGTTTCTACAGCAGCCTAGAAGGACAAACCAAACACGAGCTATAGATAAGGCATTTCGTATTTTTTGTGTGTTTCATGGCCACCATAGTTTCTCCTTCACATTTTGAAAGGGAGGGTGAGATGAGGGAGCTGCAATCTGCAACACCGCTGGATGCCACTAAATGCTACACACTGGACCTTTAAAAACTGACGCTCTTGGATCCGACCTACACTGTCTTATTCAACATCAACTTGACTGACTGCTGCTATTTAAAGAGAGCGATGGATATAGTCCTACCTCTTCATGGTGGATGCCAGTGTATTGACAGAGTTCCATGCCACACACTCCATCTGAGAGGTCATTTGATATACATTTTCTCCTCTGTGGAGGGAAGACAAAACGTAGAAAAAAAAGCTCATGAGCTGTGCAGTGGACTCTTTTTTAGCAGGGTTGAGTGTGTGTATCCATTTGCGTAGCTGTGTTGCCTTTTGTTATCCTCAATAGAAGCACTCTGATAAAAAAATGCCAACACACACACAGTCGCAGGTGGAGCTGAGGATAAAGAATGTGCCTCAGATAGACACCAAGAAAGCTAAATTCCCCCATAACAGCCATCTTTCATTAAACACAGCAGACTCCACAATCATTATTCAGACCTGCCATGTGATTACACATGCACATACATACACACACACACACATACACACACACACACACACACACACACACAGTGGATTTATAGCTCTCACACCACAGGCCCTCAATCACACCACCTGCAGGCTCACAGCAGTCTGGATGGGGTAGATGTGGTGCCTGGTACCCTGCTCATTACGCTGCTATTATTTTACAGTACAGCAGGGGCACACAGCCAGCAGAGCACACATGGTATTTGCTGAAATGTGGAATAGAGGCTGAGCACAAGATTTAAAGTAATGATCCATGACATTTTCAAATAAATAAGTGTCTGCTTTTCTTCCCTACTGCTGACTGATAGAAGAACCCATCACTGATTCAGCCTACATCCATTTAATGAAAGCTCACACCCAGTGTGTGTTACAGTATGTCTCTCTTCCTGGGAACCAGAGGGGTTTCCCAGGAAGCCTGTTGCAGAAATGGCGATTTATTTGCCAAAAAGAAACTGGTTATTTACCACGAGGAGTGATAGTTGCCATGGAACAACAAAGTTTTGCAACTACTGAAATATTATCAACAGAAATTCCAAGGAAAAACACAGCATGCCAAAGAACATGCAGCATGAGAGAAGTGCAGTAAAGGAAAACCTACCTACCACCAAATTACTATTCATCAAATTACAATTTAGAATTAGTTAGAATTAGTAAGAAATGCTCTCAAGTTTTTGGGATAGCAGCCTTTGAAATGAGTGTCCCCACCCAGTGGTGGAAGAAGTACTCAAAATATTTTACTTAGTTGAAATACCACAGAGTAGAAAAGTATTAGCATCAAAATATACGTAAAGTATCAAAAGTAAAGTACTCGTTATGCAGACTGTTCAGGGAGTGTGTGTGTCTCTTTATGTTTGGATTATTAAGACCTCGGCATGTTTTCATTTCATTGTTGTTGCAGTGGGCCAAGCTGATGGCCTGCAGAGTAAATACAGTCCTGTTGGTACCAGGCTGCAAGATTAGACAACCGACTCAACTCATATGAGTCTTCCCAGTCATGTGAGTGTGTGCGTGTGTGTGCATGCATGCTATCAGTTATGTTTATGACAAAGAAGACCTCCTCAGACTGAGACATTCAGGACAGCTTATGTCCACTCCACATCTCTCTCTTACTGTCGCTCTCTCTCTCTCTCTGT